GTTATTTTTTTTTTGTTTTTTGGTGCATCACTTACTTCGCTCGCTCACTGGAGTTCCAATAGTCCCATGTTTGTTAATGTTGTTCATTCATTCATCCTAATAAAAGATATTTTTAAAAGATGCATAAAATTCTAAAACCTTTTTATAGGGATTAAAAATTTAAGACCTTGATATGTACTTGTTTGGGCTTCCCTCGAGGGGCTTAAAGGTAGTTCATAGAATCAAGAATGCATAATGTTTTTTTTTTTTTTTTTTCTGAATAAGAATGCATAATGTTTAACATCACATTAGCTATTTAAAGTAATGCAATTGGGAGAAAATAAAGAGATTAAGAGTTTACTTGCTTGAATATGTTTTATATGTCATGCTTGATTTTACATGTTATGTTTATATATTTTAATTTGAGATAATAGGCTTTTTAAATCATTTAATTTTAAATTTAAAATTTTTTAATTTGTATTTAATATTTTTAATTTTTTGGTATATTTTTTAAATTTTGGTTGTTTTTGAATTTGTTGTTTTTTTTTTGAATTTTATGATTTTTTTTTTGCATTTTTGCGCCTTGCTTAAAAAATGCATGTGCCTTGCCTTGCACAAAATGGCCCATTTTTAAAACATTGGAATCTCCCACACCAATCGGACCTAAGAACAATGCAATAACCCCATCCTTCTTTATTTTTGTAGCAACATCCTATCCCTAAAGGCCCTGGGTTGCCCTGGGGTGGTCCATGACAAAATAGGCTTGTCCTTCCTTGATGAATTTTTACCACTGTACCCATGTTCCTCTAAATATCATTAGAGAACTATGAAAAGATGTCCAAGGTTTTAATGTATCACCCTCAAGGCTATGCTCTCTATCATCACTTCCATGCTTCTTTCTTTCTTTCTTTTGAAATATTTTAGAATTTCCTTATTCTGATAAAGTCTAAATCATAGCTGCCCTTGTACATTTCTAGAGAACTTTGCCTCTTCTCTTTAGCCATCTAAAAGTGGATGTGTCAAAGAGTCCATGTAACTCTAGTGGTAAGGTCCAGCTGTACCCAAATAAAGAAAAGAATCTTTCCCAAATACCTTCACCAAATGAACCAATGATTTAAAAGGCGTGCCTCAGGCGCGCCTAGGTGTGTGCCTGGTGTGCCTTGCGCCTTAGCCCAGGCGTGCGTCTTTTGAAAATTTGCCCTAACATGGACTTGTTTGGGCTTGCCTCGAGGGGCGTGGCACAAAGGCGGCTCGTAGAATTAGGAATGTAATATGTCACATTAGCTACTTGATGCAATTGAGAAAAAAAAGAGATTGTGGGTTTTATATGCTTGAAAATGTTTTATATGTTTGATTTTATTTTTAAATTCTCATTTGAATA